TAGAAGGACATGAAACCAGAATCACGAAACTAGAACAGGGTGAAAAAGAAAAAAGGATTTCTACAGTAAATTCCAACGATATCTCTGATGCTCCATCATCTGATATATCTGATAATGCTTCAAATTTTGATATATATATCAGGAATCTTTGACTCAGCCGGAGGTCTTGATTACATCAAGATGCCTAAATCATTAGAGGATAAAGCGGTTGATGATTTCGTAGATTCAAAATATAAAGAAACAGTTAGTAAAGAGATAATTCAAAATATTAAGGAGAAGAAGCTTCAAGATCAAGAAAAAATCAGAACTTCCCAGGATACTAAATCCTCTTTGAATGTAAAAGATAAGCAGGGGGAAAAAACTGGTCCCTCAGGGAATGATCAAAGTCATGTGACTTTGAAGACTGAAGTATCTGTGGAGCAAGACGATGACATGATTCCGGAGGAATCGCTTGATGAAAATCAAATCATAGAACAATGCTTAATACATGAATTATGTTCATCCATATCATCTGAAAATAATGTCAGCTCTACCGAAATCATCAGCTCTTGTATTAGTTTAGAGAATATGATTTCGGTTTCTGCCCAGCACTTATCTTATTTATTTGAAACAGCAATAAAATCCAGTCAGCAAGAAATATTAGACTGGCACAATTATTCCTTTGAATTTGAGAGCAAGGCAGATGCTCTTGCAACCGATGGTAGAATTAAGGATAAAACTGCAAGAACAATGATTTACAAGGAAATGAAACCATTTCTCCCTACTAAAATCACACAAGCTAACTTGCGCAAGAAAACTCATAGGGCTAGAAAACATCTCATGTTATTTGGGAAAAATGGGGTTGGAATAGATAAAATTAAGCTGGTCTCATATAGCGCAACTGAGATTTTGAAACTAACTAATACACAAATCCAAAATGTCATAGATCAAATAAAAAAATATACTAGCGATCATCAGAGTCTTGTGACTTTGAAAATCGTTCCCTCAGGAAACGATCAGATTATTGCTGAGATAAGTACTATAATCACTCCTTCTATTCAATAAGATGAGTGAAGAAGTTAAATTTTCGCCAGAGACTAAAGTAAATATACCTACCGAATCTTATGTTTCCCCAAAAAACAATCCCAAAATCAACTCTCCGAAGCTCTATTCATTAAAGAAAATGCTATCGAAAGAGAAGCGTAAAGAGGTTATTAACAAATTAACTATGCATTTCACTGATTCTCCAAAGGTAGATCTATATTTTAGTGTAGATAAGGAGGGTGAGCATCAGACTGACACTTATTGGATTTTTGGTTCACATTGTTCACTATGTAGAGAAAATCATATGAGTTTGGAAGGTAAGTGGTGGTCAGATAATCAAGGCAATAAATTTTATTATTTGTATTGTGATAATATCAAAGACCCAGGGATCCCATTCGACGAGGTACTAGAAGCCTATCCCGAAAATTCCAAATTAATTCAGGAGTTAAAGACTTAATCCTTCACATTACCTATTCCTTGGAATAATGCACTTAAATTTCTAAATAAAAGCATAACAGTGGAGGCATGATTTTCTACAGAGTATCGCAAGTCAGAAATAGAAAACATTACATCTGTAACTCACGGTGCACATCGATATATATATATTTTTTAAAATAAAAAATGGCAGTGCCATTGACCCCCTTCTTTATTTAATAAAAATTGTTGCCGAACAACAATATAACATACAAATAATAATTTTTTTCTAGTTATACATTAAGGATCGTAATCATTATCACTATTATAATTATCACCGGATGAACCAAACATATAACTATTATCAGAATGGTCTTCCCTATCACCATATCCATAGTAATACGAAATTGGTTTATGAAGAGTATTATCTGCTTTGAATAGAGAAGAAACTAAGTCTCTGGTGATTATATTTTGAAGAAATTATTTTGTAGACAATGTAAACTTACAAGATCTGGAACTATACGACCTAGGTACATAACCTATTGGGATAACAACTCCGGATGCGTTAGAATCATTAGTCGTGGGGCCTTGTTATCATTGGTCTTGGAGGCATTACTATCATTAGTCTTGGGGGTGGTGGTATCATTGGTCTTGGGGTGGTGGTATCATTGGTCTTGGGGGTGGTGATTTTATTAGTCTTGGTGGTGGTGGTTTTATTAGTCTTGGAGATGGTGCTATCGTTAGTGCTCATTGTTTCGTACCTAAATACAAAAAATTATCGTAAGTAAAAATTTGTTTTCATAGTTTGCGTTAAATGAAATAGCACATTAAAAATAAATTACGGGCAAGTGAATCAAGTAAAAATATATATGAGCAAAAAATAACGTTATTGCTAGATATAGAGTATCCTCATTTCATGAGACTTATCTTATGGGCGGGAACTTGCTTATTTTTATACCTTTCTGACTTTCCATTATTTAGATCTAAGAACCTGCCAGCCCTTTTAAGTCCCATTCGTGGATTTTCTTATCGCAAGATCGTATATAACAAGAAAAAGATTCTAGACGTTATTCGTAATAGTTAATACTGGTACGTAAAAAATCGACCGTGAGAAATAATTCTGCAGAGAAGTTACATGAATTACATGTCCAATTGTATAATCGAGACAATCATTTTTAAAATTTTAATACTGATTTACCTTATGACTTTTTGAAGCCCGCCCAACTAACTCATCTCTATAATTAGGGGAACCATCACGGAACGATCACGGAAAAAATTTATTAAATCCCTATGTACCATCAGGGAATGATCACGGTATCACGATCGTATATTTCAGGCTCTTCTTGGTATTATTATCAATCGTGACTTCAACCAATCATCTGTTTGTGTTTAATTATCAATTTCGTTTGCTTACTATTAAAATCCAGTTGCGCAATAAATGCGTCTTCTTCTATCATCAAGATAGGATATCACTACTACTAATAAAT